TATGATTTTTATCTTTAAGTCTATTGATGTGATAAATTGCATTTATTGATTTCCATATGTTGAACCAACCTTGCATCCCTGGGATTAACCCCACTTGGATGTGGTGCACTATTTTTTAAATATATTTTTGTATGTGGCTTGCCAGAATTTTATTGAGTGTTTTTGCTTCTAGGTTCATTAGAGATATTGGTCTGAAATTTTTTTTCTTTGATGTGTCTTTGTTTGGTTTTGGAATCAGGATGAATTGGCCCCATAGAATGAGTTTGGAAGTGTTCTCTATTTTTGTAGTTCATGGAATAATTTGAGGAGTATTGGTATTAGTTCTTCTTTGAAGGTCTTGTAGAACTGAGCTGTGTATCCACTGTTCCTATGATTTTTCTTGTTTGGTAGGCTTCTGATGGTATCTTCTATTTCATTGCTTGAAATCTCTCTCTCTTTTTTCTGGGCCTCTCTCTCTCCCTTGTGGGAAGCCATTGTTTACTCTGTTCCTTGATATATTGAATATATGTAACTTGCTTTTTAGTTTTACAAAATTATGCTGAGATTTCACCTTGAGACTCAGAGAAGATTTTTGGACTTGGACTTTTAGACAATGCAAAATATGCAAAGGGATTCTTGGGAATGGAATAAATGTACTTTGTATTGTGGAATGGACATAAGCTTTTGGAGGCCAGGACAGAATGTTATAGTTTGGATTTGTGGTATCCCCAAAAGCTAGTGTGTGAGATAATGCAAAAACCTTCAAAGGTGAAATAATGAAATGATAGGTTATGAGAGGTGTGACTTAATCAGTGGCTTAATCTACCAATATGGATTAATTGGGCTGTAACTGTGGGCAGGAAGGGTGTGGCTAGAGGAGGCAGTTCACTGGAGTCATGTCTTTGGGGTATAATTTTGTCCAGGCTGGGCTTGCTCCCTCTGCTTCCTTGTGGTCATATCCTGAGCTATTTTCCTCCACCACAGACTGAGACCACCACTGGACTGAGACCTCTGAAACTGTGAGCCTTAAATAAACTTCACCTCTAAAAATTTATTGAACTTTATTCTTCATCAAACACCATTCTACAATTTTTTGAATGTTAGCTTAGGAATTGGAGGTAAAA